TATTTTTCATTCAAGAGGGTATCGGTACACATACATAGGATATCGATACACTCTGCTCATAACAGGATTTTCACCCGAAATTTCATCAGCTCTTCACTGAATTTCCTCATACAAAGCTCATTTCATATCACCAAACTCAACTACAACCATTTTAACTAAATTTTATCATTCCCACACCTTATTAGCTTTCATATTTCATTCAGATTCTTAAAGCTAAGAATCATACCAAATTTTCCATGTAATCCAAACTCAATTCTAACACTTATAACTTCTTGTTTACACCTATGACAAGTCAAATTCAATCTTAAAGTTCCTTTATTAACTCTTTTTCAAAAATTCACTTTGAAACCCATTCTCTTTAATCTTTCATAACTTCTTCATCTTTTGATTTTAAGATAACTTAAGCTTTCCTTAAGCTTAGTTATCATCTAATGATCAAAACCCTCTCTTAAAATCAACAAATAATCAACTAAACAGAAAACTCACCTTTGCTTTGAGTGTTTTACGGTGGAGAAGAAAGCATGAAGAAGAAGAAGAGAGTTTCCAGATAACTCTCTTCCCCCCACGTGATTCATTCTTATTAAGGGGGAAAATATCTTTCTCGTCAAATGACCATTTTGCCCTTTAATTCCTTTGATAATTACTAATAACTTTCAGGAAATATTTCCAAATAAATCGTTGAACTATTCAACTATTCTACTTTTATCACCAAATTTTGAAATTTTACAATTTGGTCACTAATCTGGTATTGAGGATATTACATCAATTTATAAGGTTGTGGATACTTTGTTGTTGCCAAGCCAATTGTATCTACCGTTAAGGTACTAGCAGCATTATTGCAACTATCTCCATCAATAATAACATAGCATACCTTTCCTCCAACGTGTTAGCGAGTATGTAAGATATTTTCACGTTATTTATCTCCTCCAATGGATTGCACGTTTAGGCTCAGTTTGACAACAAGAATCTCACATTCTACCGTATGCTCTAATTCTTCATCATCAATGGTAGTATCTTCATTCTCGTCATCTTCTTGTTTTGATTCAACTTCTCCATCATCTCGAAGAAGCATGGTGTTGCGATTTGGACATTGGCTTGCAATGTGTCCACGCCTCAAACACTTAAAACATTGTATATCAAAGGAATGATTTGGAGTGGCGGTAGTCTTACCTTTGTTGGTTTTGAAAATGGGCTTACTTCCTTTGGGTGGTCCTCATCTTTCATGGGATGGAAATGGAAAAGTCTTCTTGTAGGAACTTTGCCCACATTTTGATGTTGCACTCCCATAAGATTATGTGGCATCCTTCTTTTTGAGTTGCTTTTCCACCTTCATGGCCATATGCATCATGTCTTCCATCTTCACATAATGTTGCAACTCGACAACATTCGCAATGTCTGAATTAAATCTCGCTAGGAATATTTCCATTGTGGCTTCTCGATCCTCATCGATGTTGGCTCGAATCATGGCCACCTCCATCTCTTTTTGATAGTCTTCAACACTTCGGTTACCTTGTGAAAGGTTTTGAAGACGGTTGAATAACTCCCGATGGTATTGGGTTGGAATGAATCGCCTTCACATCACTACTTTCATTTCATCCCATGTAGTGATACGATGTTTTCCATTGCATTTCCTACTCGATATCAATTGATACCACCATATTAGTGCATAATCCGTAAACTCAATGGCAACAAGTTTTACCTTTTTGAGTTCAGAATAATTATGGCACCCGAAGATGTGCTCTACCTTCTTTTCTCATGCTAGGTAAGCCTCAAGATCTGTCTTGCCTTCGAATGGTGGAATGGAAATCTTGATATTAACAAGATTATCTTCCATTAATGGACAAAACCTTTAGGGCCTTATACATCGATTTCCCATTCTTTGTTGTGATACATGATCTTCTCCTGGTCTTTCCACTTATTCATTTCCTCCTTGATTGGAATATTCTTGCTCTCAAAATCCTTGAGTACACTCCTCTTCAATGCGGTACATACGTTCATGGAGGGGTTCCAACTATTCCCTCAAAATCCTGATCAATTTACGCACTATGGCTTGTAATTTGTAGGTTTGGTTCAACGTTACCTGCAACTTGAGAATTAACATAATTAGTAGTAAAAAAAATAACCTCACAAATAAAAGGGAAAACCTCACCAAATATTCCAAGAATAGTCACTCCCACTCGTGTTTCACTCGGGATAGATTTTTCCCCTTGATGAACTCTCTTGCCTTTTACCACTCGCGATTTTATTTCAAGTCCTTTGGGAACTTCCTTAAGGCTTACAAGTGTCTAGTGGACTTCGGCTGAAACAATTGTGGCTTGGTAGCAATGATAGTGAAAATAAATTAGCTACAAGGAAAAAGAGATTATAAGTAAAGGTAACAAAATTGAATAATAGAATATAAAGATGAATTAAATATTAATTTTTTTTCTTTAAAGATGAAAAGAATTACTCCATTCCTCTTTAAACTTTTTCTTTCTTTTGTTTCTAATTTTTTTAATTTTTTTGTTTTTTTACTAAACCGGGAGAGAGAAAATGATACGTTTACTAAATCGGCTATCTCTGATAATAAATGATATGATCTCGATTATGTGTTCTGAGTCATATATGAGTGTGCCCGATCGTGATTCTAGTAAGAACTTCGCAGTGCTTTGATTGAAGACTGAAAATGTACAAACAACGTTATAAGAAGGGAAATATGTATATATAAATATGTATATGAAAGTAATGGAAATAATAGAATGAAGTTGAAGTGGATTATAAATGAAAGAAGTGTGGTGGTGATAAATGGTTGAATAGATGTAACGAAAATGGTGAAGGATGTTTGTGGTTAGCATGGAGAATGATAGTAATTCAAAGGATGGATTGTGAAAGATTACCAACTAGAAAGCCGATAGAAGCCTATAACAAAAGAGAATGGATGAAGATTACAAGACTATCTTGAAGCCGATAAAGTTCTACAAGAGAAAAAGAATGAAAGCAACCTCTCAAAGATGTTTTATATATTCAAATGAGTGTCTAAAAATGATCCCCAAAGGTGCCTATTTATAGTATTTCTAAGCATCATATGAAAGGACTAAAAAGATGAAAACATTCTTATATATTTAGCAATAAAATGCACTTGAATGCTTTGCCTTCTTATCTTCAAGGTTGACTGAATATTCTAGATCATTTTAGGGATGAATCTAAATAATTTAAAGTTGAATTTGGCCTTAATTTCATCCAAGGGTTGGAAGACTCTTGCTATTCCATGTTGAAAATTGTCCTAATAAGTGAATTAAATCACCCTTCATTGCATGTTCCCTTGAAGAATATGAACAACCCTTGAATTTCAATGATAACAATCAGCTTTGAATGCCTTGAATGGGTTAATTAAGAGTCCTTCAATGGCTTGTCACTTGGATGAAGTTGAAAAGACTCTCCCTTGGCTCAAACTCATCCAAATCATCTATGCATAAAATTCCCGTAACAAAATTTCAGCCTGCACGGTCTTCAATAAATCGATCATATCTCAAGCTCCCGATATCGGATTGAGGTGATTAAAAAGGAGTTGGAAAGCTAAGAGATAGAGGGATAATTCCCAATTGATTTCTGGAACCAAACACGTCTGTATCACACCCAGAATTGGAAGACATTCTGATTGACATTCTTGCATATGATGAAACCATTCAACTTCTCTCATGCACCTAGACACAAAGGTGAGCTTTATTCAATCTTTAATTGAAAACATGCATGAAACAATTAAGAGTTATTTTAATAAATGAACTAGTTTGATGAATGAACTACTTTAATTAATGAATTAATTTTATTAAATGACTAGATGCATGAATGAAGTAGCTTACTAAATTATCTAAAGGCATAAATGAACTACTTCCCTAAATGAACTAGATGTTTTAAATGCTATGCATGCTTAAATGAACAACACACTTATTAAATGCAATGAATGTTATGCAAACATCAAATTCTTATGTAAATTTGCATAAGCAACGTAAAGTGTTCCTCCCTTATTATTCCTCATTCCTTACGTCGCAAGCTTGATGTAAACATACCCTCCATGGCTGCTTGAAACTCCTTAGCCCTTGCTCGTGTGATGGGGCCACTTGGGTACTTCTCCGGGTCTTTGCTATTGGCGATCATATCACAAAGGATCATCGATTATAGGGTGATACTTTGTTGAGTCTCTCAATTATTAAAAGTTATATAATGATCCTCTAGTTATAAGACATTGCTTTATTAAGTCTCTTAACTTTTAAAAATTATAAAATGGTCATTTGACTATTCATATTTTCTAAATCTGTCATTTTTCATTAAAAATTGACGGTAATCTGAGTTTGACGTTAATGTGATGATTGAGGTATGATAGTTGTGCTGAAATTTTGTGATTAAATTTTATCATATCTCAATCATCAAATTAACGTCTAGTTCAGACTGTCGTCAACTTTTTAACAGAAAATGATGAGTTTCAAATATATAAATAATTGAACGACCATTTTATATCTTTTAATAGTTAAGGACTCAAAAAAAACAATATATCTTATAATTAAAGAATTATTTTATAATTTTTAATAATCAAAATACTTAATAAAACAGTAAGATGAATCATTTATGTACTTTAATCATATCTTTAATGTCTGTCCTATCACCTGCATTTTCCATGCACAATCCCTAGAAATCCAACTCTTTCTCACATGCCTTGATAGGATTGTTTTCCACCTTTCTTTTCCTTGCTATAATGTCTTACCAAACTGCCCCAAACATAAACAATGAATGATAAATCAGAGCAGGATCGCTATAGATATTATATTCGAACTCGAGATATCAAATAATAATAATAATTTTTTTAACTACTGAGATCGTATGAATCGTGTCATAGTATATATCGTTTGACCAAGTTGGGATCAATTGTATGATGAAACCATAGAAGTTTCAATGGTTGTTCTCCTATGAACTAGTGTAATTTTCCAATTCTAAAATATCAGAATAACAACATAAAGAAACGAAGAGATATATGAATATTAGAAATTTGAGAAATATCCAAAGAAAATGTGGTCCGGCAGGTAGTAGTATGCTTACTTTGTTAAAAACTTGAATCTACACGCTTACATGCATGGATTTAGATAGAGATTTGTTATTATAATAGTGCCCGTTATATAGCGGTAGTAGTGTGGTCTGCAACTGCTATTGCATGATCACGATATTAGTAATGACCGCAATATCACTATGTCCGCAATCGCGATAAATGCAACGCAACCGAAAATACCACCAAAACCGCGATTTAAATCTATACTTACATGTAAGCCATATGATACTCAAATCTATTACACATTAACATGATGAAACAAACTATCATCTTCTCCATTTCTCATTTGTGCGTCTGCCTTTTCCGCTTGGACTTCAAGGAGATGACAGATTGAGAGTTGCTGTGCCAGTTTCGCTTCCTTTGGTTGATGAACCAGTTGTTGATTTGCTTTTGCTGCAATCCTGTTTCCTCTACAAGTTTGGCCTTATCATCTTCCTGCATTCATTATCATACCATATGAACCTCAACTAATGACACTCTTGTTCTGTCAATGGAAGTGAAACTAGTAATGGAGCATTGGGAATTGAAGTTAATTGCTTACAGTTGGGTATGGCCACTTTGAGTGCTGCTGCCACCAGTTCTTGAGCACAGTGGTTGTGTCGCCTGGTAATTTCCCAGCCCTTCTTTTTCTTAAAATCTCCTCCCTCACGTCCTCAATTCTTGATTTGAAACCCTTCATGTATGGACAATTACAGATTTTTTGACTGTTTACTTTTCTCTCTTACCAAATACTTGTTTCAGTTCAGGGATAAATCAAGGGAGTTACTCTCTTAAAATTTTAAATTATCATGTATTTTAGGATAAAGTACACAAATAATCCACCTATTATAGGACACTATTTTATTGAGCCCTTAACCATTAAAAATTATAAAATGGTCTCACAGTTACAGGATATTACTTTGTTGAGTCCCCTGATTGATAAAGTTACAAAATTGTCATCAAACTATTTGTATGTTCCAAATATGTCATTTTCCCTTAAAAATTTAACGTTATTTTGAGCTGGACGTTAACTTGCTGACTAGCATATGATAAAATATGGTCTCAAAATCTCAAAGGACTATCATATCTCAGTCATCATGTCGACGACCAACTCATATTGTCGTCAATTTTTAACGTAAAAAGACGAGTGTAGAATATATGAATAGTCGGATGATTATTTTATAACTTTTAATTGTGAGAGACTCAACAAGATAATACAATTGAAGGACCATTTTTAATTTTTAATAGTAGGAATACTCAATAAAACACAACTTTATAATCGGATGATCATTTGTGTACTTTACTCTACATTTTAGATATTTTATTTATATTTTTTATTATTAATATGTTTTTGTTTCATAAAATTTTATAAATTCATCTCTCTATAATTTTAAAAACTTATCCAATCTAACGTAAAATGATTGATTGTTCCTGTTTCACTACACTCGCATGAGAAAACATAAAGCAAGAAATGACCTGTTTGAGTTCAATCTTGAGCTCCTGACGAACCCTCTCCATCAAAGACCTTTCGGATTCAGTAGGGATTAAGGGACCAAAACCCATTAAGTCATGCCCTTCGCTGCCGGATTGATCCAAACAAAAATCCATCTGCATCTCGTCCTCATCATCTGACATTGTTGCACCTGTACCTTCCCCCAAGCTAACTCCTGCACACAAGGTTGTGTTTTGAGAACCTATACATCCAAAAAAAAATTAAATTTTATACAAATTACATTCAAAACGTGTAATATTTTTTTGATCTATTTATAAAAATTGTATTTACATATTCAAAGTATTCAATCAATTAAATAAAGGTAAAAAATTACAACTATCACTTTGTTTAAGTTTCAACTTACTAACTTCGAGGAAAAGCATGTATAAAACTTGAGGGGACAATTGTCCCACTCATAATAAATGAGGCAACAACAAAGATTAGTCCTTTCATACTAGATATAATAGGTAGGTATCTAGATAGCTAGGGTAGACTCTCCATCAAAGTGACAACACAATAATTAAACCTTTGCTATTTTAACCACTTTCCCTGTCATGCAACCATCATATTTATTATTATCACATTTATATTTTATTAAAATATAAGTTTTTTATTAATTTTACGTGAATATAAAATAATATTTATAATTTTTTTTAATTATTTGACAATTAACATTTATATATTCTTATAAGTATCATACATAAATTTAAAATCTTGAAAAATAATAATAATTTATTAATCATTAAAATTGTTTGGTTGATACTATTACAATATATTTACATAAGAGGGTTGTTTTTGAGTTAAAAAAGAAGTTGCATATATCATAGTTCCCTTAAACCCCATGTTTTAATTTGTTTATGGATTTAAAAAAATAATATTAACATTTATAATAATGTTTGGTATATATGGGGGTTAGAACTAACAAGTCATAGGAATGAACATCTAGCTGGAGATGAAGTTCAAATTGATTATTGAAGCAATTATCATATAAATAATAGCATCTCTTTCAAGAAAAGAAACACCAGAAATCATCACCAACCGCATCAGAACACCAAAACAAGAAATAAAACAATTAAGCATTGTTAATTATTATCTTCAAGAAATAAAACAAGTAAAGGAAAAGTATGATTCTATCCAAAACCAGCCAACGATGGTGATATGGATTAATGTGTTGAAAAATTGGTAATATAACATATAGAAAAGAATTTTTTTTAATTAGGGTATTTGTTATACTATTTGATGGAAGTCCTCTAATACTATATAATGATCTCTTAAAATCGTTTAGACCATACATTATTAAATTTTACGCCTTCTAATACAATACATTATTAAAGCAATTTTACTCCATATATATCTTATTTTCTCCCTAGGAAAGAAAATATGGTAATGTTAGGAAGGGAGAGAGAGGGGGGGGGGGGAGGACAAACCAGTAAGAGCTTGTAAGCTATTTTCAATTTCACGGCAAGCCATAACAGCTTCAACGGCATGAACTCTGACATGTTGTTGAAGCTGTTCTTTGAAAGTACACAGCACTACCAAATATTGTGCCTGCAACAACCCAGAACAAACCCCCCGTCAATTCATAAGCAACAAAACCACTTTCTCATGTACGAAAAAAAAATCTCAAATCAGAACTAAGAAACCACGAAATATCAGACAAACCAAGAAGTTTTCAAGCTCCTGTCTTTCATGGGGAGATAACGAATGGCCCTGTTGGTGATACTGTGAAGCATATGACCTAAGAAGATTATGAGACTGTGCCAACTGTGCATCGATCAAAGGCAACTGATCGATTGGAGTAGCCACACGGAGACAAGAAACATGAGCTGCTAGAAGCTGCTCACACAGCGGATGAACGGCTATCTCAGCCTTCAGCTGACGGTTCTGGTCACCAGAAACAGCCACTTCACCGACGCTGCTCAGCCCTCCAATTGCACCACCACCACTACTCATCATGTCTTGCATTTCTTAGAACCACAAAGGCCTATAACACAACCCCCCAGAGTAAATATATATACAAACCTACTAAAGAAACGCTGTATATATGTATAAAGAAATGAGCATCAAGGACCACAAAGAAAGAGCCTTGTGCTTTGAGAGTGTTTTTAACGGAGGAGAGAGAGAGAGAGAGAGAGAGAGAGAGAGAGAGAGAGAGAGAGAGAGGGAAAAACAAAGACAGATTTTTGCTTATATCGGGATCTGAGACTGGATTTTCTGCACCCACTGCTGTATATGTCGCAGGGTTTCTTACTTTTACATACACAGAGAAAGATAAGGAAGAAAAAGCATGACAATGATAATCAAAGCATGTACAAATCTATGTTAATGCATATAGTAGTTGGGATTTTTCAGAGTTTTTGGAAGAAGGTTTTGATCGGATAAAAAGATGGAAGGTGAGGAAGAAAGGGGGCTATGGAATCATTACGATGAAAGGCTGTTTGGAAGAAGAGAGGTCAGATAAAGCAAAGGCAACATATAGATAAAGCTGTTTCTTTAGCCTGACAATTTAATTGTTTTTTCTTTTACTTTTTAAGATAAATTATATTTTTAATATATAAACTAATACTTTTTATTCTATTTTGATATTTAAATTTTTTAAAAAATATAAGCAAATATCAAAATAAAATTTAAATTAAATATTATATATGATTTAAAAAAAATTAAGTATTAAAACATAACAAAAATAATAGTTTATATACTAGATGTGTACTTTACCCTACTTTCTTATACTATATAATATAAATAAAAATTAAAAAATCAATTTTGGATTTTCTTCCCTTTTTTTTTAATTAACAAACGAGCAAGTGGCACGTTGTGTTTGATTGGAGTTTGGTGTTTCACTGAATTAGTTGAAATTTCAAAATAGAGTTGGATTAAGTATTTCTTAATTCAAGTTTTTAAATATTGGAAAAGTTTGTTGTTATATTCTCATAGAAATTATGCTGATCTTTTTAATATAAAAAATGCATTTATATTTTTTTTATCATGATTATACAATTTAATATTTTACTGAAAATTTTATAGATAATAGTGGATAAAAGGCTTTTCCATGATATAAAATTACATTATTTTTTGTTCATTTATTGATGATGACCGCCTTAAAATTATATTTATATCCATCTCATATGAACAAAAATATTATATATATATATATATATATATATTCAAAAATATATTTAGATATGCCACTATATACATATAAATTAATCTTGATCATATTTATAATATATTATTGAGCTTTAAGATTACAAGATATATTGTAAAGGAAGATAAGATTATAGTGTTTGTTGAAAGAATATAAGATAAAAAAATATATGTTTTACCAAATAATCCTTGAGAATTTTATATTCTCTAATTTATATATTTATTTTTAATAAAACTTGTACACAAATAACTTAATATATTTTTTTTTATTTTTAAAAAAATATGAAAACATATATACATCAATATAATTATGTGTTTATTTTTAGCTATTGAGAGTTGTATATACTTACACTGATGTATGTATGTGTTAATTTCTACAATTTTTTTTTATTTTATCCATCCTACGCGTATGAGTTATACAATGAAATATCACATCAAATTATTTGAAATAATTAACAAAAACATAATATTTATATATAAATTATGAAATTAATATTAAAAATAAACGCAATAAAATACATATAAAAATAAAACTTAAATCAAACAGATACATAATAAATATTCAAAATAAAATAAAAATTTAATATCTTTTTCTTTTTATTATAGGTATGTTTTATAATAAGTATTAAAAAATTTAGAACCACAATAAAAAAATAAAAAAAATATATTAATGTATGTATTCACAAAGGAAGGATGTTTAAAAATAATCATATTGTTTGAAGGCATTTTTATATTAAATGGAGGGAATTGACTAATACCTAAGAAAACAAGGGAATAACATTTCATGAAAAGCCTAGAAAAATACTACTGGAAGTAATGCTTTATTACTCCCTGTAGTGAATACTCTTAAACCAAACGTGGTTATATAATTACAAAAAAGATTACTCCCCTTAATAATGATTTTTTTTTTCACGAAACAAATACCCCTAAATATTATCATAAACAAACATACTTTTCTTTTGCTTTATTAATAACCTTACTCTAATCAATAACATTTTCAATATGTTTTTTTTAATAATATTATATATGATATAATGTTATATATAAATTATATTTTTATAATAATACTATGTAATCAATAACATTTTCAATATGCTTTTTTTAATTGAATTTTCAGTATGAGTTACTTAGCCCTAAACTTTAGTATCTATTTAATTATTATTGATCTTAATTTTTTTTAAAATTAAGAAATTATTTAAATATAAAATATAAACAATTATCAAGACATTTAATAGAATATATATATATATATATATATTATAAAATTAAATTATTAAAAAAGTTTACTTTAAAGATTTCATTGAGTATAAAAAAATTTTGAGACCATATTAATTTTTATTTTGAAAAAAATTGAGAGTTTAAGATATCATTAAGTCAAAAAAATATTGTTAGAAAGATTTGAACATGTATCAAGTACATTAAAAATTTGGATCCCGTGTTTTTTATTTTTCAAATTTCTAAAATAATTTTAATGAAATTACTAAAAACACATTTTTACGTTTTATATTTTCATTTATTTTTGTTTTATTTTTTAATTTAGAAAACATTTTCAATATTTTCTAAAAATGAAAATAATTTACATTTTCTAGAAAGATTTAACTTTTTGAAACTAAAAAGGTTTTTATAAGTTTTTTCAAATATAAAAAATCAATTATTATGAAAATATACTAATTTTAAAAAAAGAAATCAATTAACGTTAGATAAACGAACTATAAATAAAACAATTTCCCTATATACGTTCCAATTAACTTTAATCTTTTTGTTATTTAAGAAAGTCAGCTGAGGATTGAGCTGTCACTAGTTTGTATTCTACCTTCTGGTTGGTGCATGTTTTACTGTTTTTTCTTAATATTTTTTCATTTATTCTAACACATTTATTAACTGTGGCAAATTATGTATTTAGTCATTCAATTATCATTTTAATTATATTTTGATCATTTAATTATTTTTTCAATATTGTGACTAACGTTATTTTTTGATTTCACTTGATCATTGACTGTTAAAAAATTAATAATAATGTTGATATCTGATATCACATCGTAAGATAATATCAAATCATCATTAAAAAAATAAAAAGTATATTATCTCACCAATTCTGTTGTTTTTTATTAGTAGGTGATCAATTAAATTAAAAAAATATACCATGTGACCAAATTAAAATCAGAACGTAACATAAATAATAATTTTGTGTAGACCTTTTCCAAAATTTTCCCTTATTCCAACGGTTAGCCTAATTCTCATCTGGGTGCATCCAGACAATCTAGGACATGCTATTTCCCTTCTCTCAGCTACATAACGGTATTAACAAATTCTAAAGACTAGAAAGAGCATTCTAGGGCATCCTCACTCACTTTAATGTAGGGCGCACTAGTAGAGATAGGAGCAATTATGTCATCTTCAGCGTTGATACATATTAGCATCCCTTCGATCATAAATTTGAGCTTTTGGCGCAGTGTGGATGGAACTACCCCAGCCTGCTGGATTCAAAGCCTCCATAGTAAGCAGTTATAGGTAGGCATGATGTCCATGATAAGAAATCTGACCTTATAAGTAGACTGGCCAATAGTTAAGGGGATGTCAATCTTTCCCTCTTCATTCCATCGAAGGCTTGAACAACATTCTGACAATTACTCATGTGTGTTCTGTTCATGGGCAAGTATTTTAGAATCACCTGAGGAATTACATTTAGTGCAAAGTGATTATCGATCAACACACTTGATAACACGTGCCCCTTAAACCTGATAGTGATGTGTAGAGCCTTGTAATAATAAATCATTCTTGAGGGGATCTCATCTTTAGAAAATAAATAAAGTTATTTGCTTGGATGTTAGTAACTTATCTGCCAAGTTTACCTACAAGTAATTCATTTGGCACAAATGTTCGGTTTAGAACTTTCAATAAGGCATCCCTGTGCATTTTAAAATTAAACAGGAGGGCTACAACTGAGATTCGAGCAGACATCTTGTGTAATTGATCAACAATATTGTACTCGCTATGCTTAAGAAAATTTATAAATTCAATAACTTCATTCTCTGTCACTAACTCATTGATGGTTGGTTCAACCTCTTTCATCAATAAATTATCAATATTCTTCCCTTTGTCACCAGCAGAACTCTTCTCAGGTTCATTGGATTGATCTGAGAGTAACACCTACCACTTCTGGTAAAATAGTCTACTTCATCTAGCTCTCATTCTAATCCCTAACATTTTATATCTTACATTCATATCTTCAAGAAACTTATTGGTTGTTCTTGTATGGGAATGTAGGAGGTATGATTATTACTTTTGGGGTTACCTTCTATATCACTTGGGTTTTTGTGTGATGACCAAAGGGCAATTGACATTGTAAACTCCTCTAAAAGAACCCTCAGATGCACATATATTTGTTTCATCTTTTTCCTTCTCAATCTCATTGTAAAATTTTGTCTCCTTACCATCCATCATCTTTTAGACCAAAACTCAGAATTCAACATAATTTTGTATGCTATGACCCTCATAATCATGATATTGGAAAACGTTCTCAGCACTGAGCTTAACTACCGAGCTCGAAACCAATAATCATACCTTGATCATCTAACCCCATACCCATTTCATTACTAACTTTACCTCATTTACATAATTTATGACCATTTCCCCTTTTTTCAATGATAGCATTAACTCTTGTACATCCATGGTTTGGTAAAGGGTTATAAGCCACATTTGGTTGTACATCATCACCATAGTTTACGATATTCTTTTGTCTTAAGCCCTAGAAAATTCTTTTAAAGGCAATGTAGTTCTCAATTAAATGTCCAGGTGCCTCTGCGTGATATTCACAATGAGCGTTAAGGTCAAACCATTTAGGATAT